ATTTTTCCATTTTAGAATATTTACAGTAATAGAAACCTCAGGCAGACATTCTCGTTTGCAATATTTTAGTGTGTTTCGTTTTCTTCCCAAGAGAGATCCGTAGATATCAGAGATAAACAGACGGGGTGAGTTCACCTTTCGAATAAAAACACATTTTCTTCCTCCCCTCACCATCTTTCAACTCAAAAAAAAATCAAAGCTCTCATTTCTTCCTTATTCTCAATGAAATCCCATTGTTTATTCCTAGCTCTGCTTTCCTTCTCATTGAGCGTACTTCTCGTTCAATGCCAAGAAATGGGCACTGTGCCTGTCACTCAAGAATTTACAGATGCCATCGATTCTGGAATGCAAGATGTCATTACTGACACTTCCTTTAGTTTTCAATACTACAAACTCATGCTGTTCAACGTTCCTGCCATTGAAATTTGCACCACACGAGCTAAATACCCAACTAAGAATCCATTTATTGGAAGAACTCAACTCAACATGTGCATTGAATTGGGAACTATTTATCCACATTATGAAGGTAAGTTGATTTTCTAGTTGAGTGGTGGAATTTAATTGGGAAATAGTCAAGCATTTGGTATCCAAAATGTTGGTTGATAAGATTAATGCCAATTACAAGATTAATTTAAAGGTGGAATATAGATATTTGAATACTTCCAAATTGGGATTTTTTGCAACAATGAGACAAGGTGTTGATTCTGGATATTGTGATATGATTTCATCGAATACTACACCAACTGATGAGAGAAAGAAAGTGTCTCATTTCCAATGTAGTTATGGAACTACAGCTCAAGGTAAGAAATTGATATATTTCTAATGAAAATAACTTTCGTAAATTTTTCTAATGATGTGAATACGAAATTATACATGAAAAATAGGATTCTTGAGATCAGGATTGGAACCTGAACGTAAATTGTCTTCTTTAAATGATTTGAATCAAACTGGAATTATTGTAGGAGCTTATGCAGGAACAACATACGAAACTTTGGTAAAAACTAAACTCTCTGCAGCCACCTACGTTCCTTTCTATGAAGTAAATAATCAATATCAGTCAATTAATGCCAAATCTGTTCATGCCTTAATTGGAGATGGTATGTTTTTTCAATAATTTTTTAATGATTTTTGACATTTGAAAGCTGTTCAATACTTAATTTGGCAAGCAGCCAACAATGCCACCTGTGGAGGATGCTCAGTAAAGATCTACAGCGAACCATATACTTACGGAACTTTTACAACAGGAAACATTACAAAAAGTTCAGCAAGTTCAATTCAATTTTTATTACAAAATATTCTTCTCATTTCTTTACTTATTCTTTACTTTTAATAAAAACAAATACAAATTTCCAATTGTCAATTCTTTCAACTTTACAATGAATATTTACAAGGAACAGATTTGCAAATTTGTGCTAATTTAGAAAGTATGGTCGAGCAAAAAATTGGCTCCTCATAATAATCTTCCAATTGTTCTGCCCATTTGCTTGACTTTTCAGTTTCTCTTTCCAATTTTGACAGTTGACTCAACAATTTCTCATTCAGAAAGACATTTTCAGCAAATGTTGGGAACATGACTTTCAATAAGGGAATAAAGGCAGTAATTTGATTATTCGAATCATGATTGAACTTTTTCAATGAAATTCCAGATGAAAAGTTTAGTATTTCGTAATGATGATTAGATGATCTTTATGAGGATTGAAACTAGGATGAGTTTAATGATCAATGGATTGGCGGTTATTCCAATTAATTTAGTGTTTTAATTTTTAGTGTCCAAATAATCCCACCATTGAGTTTCTTTAAAGTTTGACATTTTTTTTGTTTAACTAAAAGCAACAGCAGACACATTTTCACATTAATGTGATTTTAGATCTACTATTATCATATTGTTAATTGTTATTCATCAACATTTCATTTAAAAAAGAAAAGGACGGGAAAATTCTTACAAATTTCAACAATTTTTTATTCACTCTTTCTTCACTCTATATAGAAATATCAAAACACTAAAAATTAAAACACTAAATTAATCTAATCTTTGATTGGATCTTTACACCAACTAACAACCCAAACCACCATATCCACCATATCCACCATAACCAACACCATAACCAAAACCACCTCCATATCCATAACCACCGCCATATCCACCATAACCACCATAAAATGGAACACCTCCATATCCACCATATCCACCATAGCATGGAATTCCTCCTCCGTATCCACCATAGAAAGGCATTGAATAGGCACTTCCATAATTGGTTCCATAACTACTTGGTCCAGTATATGAAGATCCATAACTTGAGTATGGACTTGAGTTGACTGCATTCACTTGATTCAAGTAGGATTGAGTATTTTGTCCATATTGATTGTAATTTCCTCCAGTGACTCCATAATTAGAACCAGCACCTCCTGATGTACCATAATTAGTACCGTAATTGTTGCTATATTGACAGTTGACCAAGCAAGTAGCCAAAAGTAAGGTTGCAACTAGAGCAGCGATGAATTTGTTCATTGTTTTTGAGTTGTTTTTTTATGTGTGAATTGATTTTGAATGAGGATGTTGTTCATTGGGTATTTATATGTTTTTTGAAAGATNTGTGTTTTTGCAAACCATNGTGTTTTAACAGTTTGTTTCCAAATGTAAAATGACAAAAAAGGAATGG